AAACTACAAATGATTGGAAATCCTGAAGTTCCCACACAAAACTATTAAAGTTAATCTGCTTTTATTTCTTAAAACTTTTCCTCTCAAATATGTTTTTTTTTGTATTTTTTAAGGATTTATCTAATATTAAAGTTGGGGAAAAAACAAAGCTATTGCTATAAATACTGGCTCCCTGTAAATGAATTAATATTCATTCTTGAAAGATAATCCACCTTATTAATTATTATAAAGGTTTATTAAACAGCCTGAATGACTTCAGACCGGATGATTGGTTAACGTACCATAACTGGAATCTGATTGGCTGATATCCCCAGGTCAGAGGAAGCGGGTATGCGGCTGCTCTCATGGACTCTCTTGCGTTTCCGTCGGTTAGTCGAGGCGTCTGTTCCTACTAAAAGCACAGAGCAGATAACAGTTCAGCAGAGTAGAGCTATTTAATCTAGATTGAACCAATGCAGGGGGAATTTCTCCTACCTGTGTTACAAGCCTGGCTGCAGATTTCTGCAAAAGGTCTGAGAGAGGAGAAGGTTTACATTAGCCTGCAGCTTAGGGAACTTTTTCACACCTTAGAAGTTCAGAAAACAGACTCCTAATCTGGATTATTTCAACCAGTTTTCCTTTTCTTTCATCTAAAATGAGCTGATGTCAAAGCAGACTTTGTTTTCTTATAAATAAATATATATCCTTGTTGTAAAGAATGTACTGTGTGACAGATCAAAGGCCGAGGTTTAAATAAAGCGTCGGCAGCGAGAGCCTAAATTCGTCCTGTCAGCTTCCAGGAGGCTGTGAACTCACTGCAGCTGGCTCTTCACGTTGAACGTTATTTTATCCGCAGCTTGAAGGATTTTCTCCAAACACACGATGTCGTAGGTGTTGGGGTTTCGGAGGGGGACGTCGTCCGGAAGGCCGCTGACTTCTACAGACTCGGGACTGCCACGGATCAGCTTGTAGGGGACAACCACGGAGCGGTCGGAGCCCAGGGCCTCACCTGGATCACACAATAAGAGGCTCAGAATAATCGTTTTCAATATTTCAGGTAACATCACTGGTTTTAGACCTAAACTGGCCTGTAAATACAGCTGGCAATAGAAATAGAAACAAGTTTAGTTTTCTATTAAACAGCTTCTACAGTTTCTCTGCTATTAGGACTTTGCAAAAGGTCTCTCATCAAGAGGATGATGAGGCTACCACCACCGTGTTTCACTCAAGGCCTCTTATATCCATGTTGAGAACATTTTTTTGGTATTCAGAGCTGTTGGTCGCAGCAGAAGGCGGATCTCTCAGGTCCTGGATAAGCTCTTTATTAGATTTATTCCCATTTCTTAAAGACGTGACTAAATCTGTTTCTCAATTCACTAGAACGCGATGACGGACTCGTGTCCTCGCCAAGTATGTTCTGGAGAAGAACCCAGGAAAGTCTGGACTCGGGGAGAATAGTAAACACAGTCATAAAAACATTTTGCCAAATGAAAAACATAAACTGCTGATGGGCTAACGTTAGCCCTGACCGCTGCATATGGACTAACGTTAGCCCTGAATGCTGTAGATGGGCTAATGTTAGCCCTGGCTGCTGCGGATGGGCTAACATTAGCCCTGAATGCTGTAGACGGGCTAATGTTAGCCCTGGCTGCTGCGGATGGGCTAACGTTAGCCCTGAATGCTGTAGACGGGCTAATGTTAGCCCTGGCTGCTGCGGATGGGCTAACGTTAGCCCTGAACGCTGCATATGGACTAACGTTAGCCCATCTACAGCAGACGGCCAATCTGAAAGTCTTTTCCCCAGATCAGGACCTTCTACCGGGAAGTTTTCAAATACGAACATTTAAATAACAATCTTGGATATAGGTAA